AGAGGGAGGGGGGGGGGAGACCGGGAGGGGGAGTGGTCGGAGGCAGGGGCGTGGGAGGCGGGAAGAAAGTCCGGTGGGGGTCTGAGGGACAGCGGTCGCCGGGGAAGGAAAGCGGCGGAGAAGTCCAGGCACATACCCAGATCCGCCGGCATCGGCGTGGTGTCCTGTGGCGCGGGACACCCATCAATGGCCTTCTGCTGGGTGCCGAAGTGCCGCCGCAGGAAAAAGAACGCCGCGATGATGCCGATCCCGGCCGATACGCCAAAGGCCAGGGCTGACCGCGATCGCATGTTCAACAGCGACGAGAGGGAGGCAAGGGACATGTCGCAGGATGGAGAGGGGGGGGGAGCAAGGGTGACGCGGGAGGACAGGGGGAAGAAACGCGCGCGGAGGGAGAGGGGGGGGGAGGGGAGCGCGGAGGGGAGAAAAGAGGGAGGTGTGGTGGGGAGTGTGCCCCGGGTGCCCGTGGGACCGTTGCTGAAATGCAACGGGCGCCGGGTCGACACTCCCGGGCGTGGCTGTGGCAGGGAATCTGTCCCCCCCCCACACACACACACATACAGCCCCGTGCAGCACGGGGCGGCAACTTGGCTCGCTGGGTGGCCCCCGCTCGCCCCAGGGGGGATGTGAACTGGACAGCCAGAAAAAAAAAAAAAAAAAGACCCGGCTCCCCTGGTCACCAGCGCCCCCATCACCGGTCTTGACAACATCCGGCTGGACCGCGCCGCCAGCTGGGGGAGGGGGCTGGTGGCGAGGGCTTTTCAGGGGAAGACACGGGCGCCGGCGGGAGCTCGCCAAAAAATCCCCTCCCAAATCTCGGGCGAGCACCACAAGGGATCGGGCTACCGCGGTAGCCACGGCCCCTCGACAGATGCTCGAACACCGGTGGTCAAACCCCACGCCCGTCCGCCCGGCCAGCGGCCAGCGCACCGGGCGGCCAGCTCGCCGGGGGGGGGGGGCGACACCAGAGTCGGGGTCCCCATCCACGAGGTCATGTGCGCGGATCAGGTGCCGGCTCGGACAGATGTCCTCCGTCAAACGGTTGGCACTTGGGCGGTTCCTCCGCCGACCATCGGGGATGGCTGAGAATGTCCGGGGGCGATGGCGTGTGAGCTTCGCGGCAGGGGCATTCGGTTTGGGTTCTGCTTTCCCCGGTGGAGAGGGCCCAGGGGCCTCCTTTCCCCTCTTTCCCACTGGGCCGGTGCGTGCCGATCCGCGGGGGCAGCCCGACCGCCATATCGCGCGCCAATTCCGCTGGGGGTTTTCTTTTCCGCCCATTTTCGGGACGGAGTGTCTCACACCGTCGCGCTGTCCGCCGCTCCCCCGGCCCGGGCCCGGGTCCAGGCAGAGGGGGTCCAGCATTGATGCCGGAGGAGGATGGGTGTCCTGCCGGGTGGATGGCCCCCGCTCTCGCGAAGGGGGTCCTCCGCACCCGCGATGTTGCTTGGGTCGGTGGGAGGGGGGGGGGGGGGGGGGGGGAGGGTGGTAAACAACACAGAAAGGGAAACAGGAGGAAAAGAAAAGGTGGGCGGGCAGTGGTGTCTGGCTGACCACCACCGGCCCATAAAAGACACGCCCGCCTGGGACCGGACGAGGGGGAGGGGAGGGGCCAACCAGGCAACAAGACATCCCCGCATGCCCCCCCTCCGTCGCATCCACCTTTCGATACCCACTCACCGACAAGCCCTCCCGAGCCGACGCTCCCCTCATCTTTGTCCGTTTCAGCTCCTCCTCCTCCTCCTCCTCCTCCTCCTCCTCCTCCTCCTCCTCCCGGCCTATGTCCTGCTCCGCCGTTGTGGAGATGCCGCCCGATCTGCCGGAGTCCCGCCTAAAGGCTGTCGTCAAGCCCGGCGCCACCGATTCGGCCAGCGCCTGCCAGCCCGTCGAGTCGTCCGCCGAGCTGGTAAGCTCGCTCTCCTCGCTCGGGTCCTTCGTGTCGGCCGTGTCGATGGACCACCTGGCCTCCGGGCCGGGGAACCCCGAGCCAGCCCGCGAGCCTGCCGAGGCCGTGGGACCGCATGTGCTGGCCGCACGCCGGGCTGCCGCCCACGATCCCGCTCTCGGATGGTTTGAGGGCGCTCTGGCGGCCCGGCGCCAGGATGCCGCGCGCATGCTCCAGTCGCTGACTCGTGCGGAAATCCAAGTCCCCCGGCCGGGGCCGCTGCCGGCGTGCGTGGCCGCCGCGCTGCCCTTCCGCAGCACGCCGGCCCCCGGCCCCCGGGAGGCCCATGGTCCCGAGGCGGCCGGTGCCCCGCGCGACGCCGATCCCCTGGCCGAGGGGTCGCCCGAGCGCATGGCACTCCAGCACTTCGCCGAGGGCCACCTCTTCTTCGGCATCATCGAGGGAACGGCCCCGGCGGCCACCGCGCACTTCTACCAGCGCTTGCAGAAGCTTGGCCAGCGTTTTGTCTCGCAGCAGGATTCCCTGCCCGATCGGTGCGCCCTGGCCTTGGACATGGGGTGCCACCGGGATGGCACCGTCCCGTCGGCCCTGGGCCCCGCCCTGGACACACTGTACCCGGAGGCCGTGACATGCCAGGCTCCGGAAGCCGGGCCCGATGCCCTGGTCCCCGGCCTCTGGTACCGCGAGTGGATCCCCAACGGCCGGTGTGCTTTCCTTTTCGGGGATTTCTGTACGCGCCCATGTTCCCTCGCCGCCCGGACGCCATTCCTCCTTTCTCCAGCTTCCTTTTGTTTTTCCCTCCCCGCATCGCTTGCAGACCCACACCCACACGCTCGCACACACCCACATGCTCGCACACACCCACACCCACACCCACACACACACACGCACGCACACGCGCGCGCACGCACGCACACACACACACACACACACACACCGCCTCCTCGCTGACACAGACCCGCATCCGTGGATGCCGGGCTCTCGGCCCCACGCCCAGCCGACTGGCGGCGCGCCGACTTCCCCATGCTTCGGGATCAGGACGGCGTCCACCATGTGTTCATCCCCCACGGCCCGGCCGGGCCGGCCATCCCCCACCAGTCCCGGTACAAGGTGCGCCCCCATGTGCCTCCGGTCCCTGCATCGCTGATTGTCGCGGCTAACCTTCGCCCCCCGGGGGGCACGCCGGGAGCAGGTCGGCTTTCGGACTCGCAACACTGGCGCCTGGCTCGAGCGGGCCCCCGCTTGGGCCAAGTACCTGCTGGCCGGCGGGGGCGATGGCAAGCTCTTCGACGCCATCCACTGGAGTCCCGAGCGGCCGTACCGGCCGCGCTTTGCCCGGCCGGCGCCCCTGCCGCCAGGCCAGCGTCTGCTCATCTACGAGGCCCACGGTGCGATCCTCCCCTGGCCGGGGCCAGGGCATTTCCCTGCCTCCCCCTCGGTGCTTCCTGCTTGCCGCCTCCGCCACGCGCGCGCGTGCGCGCTGCCCCTCACCCTCTCACCTACATACCCCCTTCCCCCACCGCCACGCGGCTCATATCCTCCCTGCCTTCCCGATGCCCCTCCATGCAGTGGGCATCGCCTCGCCCGAGCCACGCATTGCTTCGTACATGGAGTTTGCCGAGCGCGTGGTGCCTCGCATTGCCGCCCTCGGGTACATGGTCCCTTGCCAGACGCAACATATGCCCGGCGGCGGGGAAAGGGCCACCCGCCCCCGCGCGCGCCCCTCCATCAGAGTCCCGCCCCGGCCGGTGGCCGGCTCCCCCGCACCACCAAAGCTAACCCTTGTCGCCACAGCTACAATGCCATCCAAGTGATGGCCGTCCAGCACCACCCGTATTACGCCTCCTTCGGGTACCATGTCACCCACCCGTTCGCCGTGTCCGGCTACAGCGGCACGCCGTGTGAGTTCCGCGCGCTCGTGGACAAGTGCCACCAGTTCGGCCTCCGGGTCATCTTGGACATTGTCCAGGCACATGGCTGCAGCAATGGTACACCAGCGTCGCCTCGTCCTCGAGCCCCCCATGTCGGCCCCAGCCACTGACCGCCCTCGTGGGCATGCCCCCCCCCCCCCCCTCCCCCCCTCGGCCGGGCGCAGTGCTCGATGGCCTTGGGGAGTTTGACGGAACCCCGGACGGGACTTACTTCCATGGCGGCCCGCGCGGCACGCACTCCCAGTGGGATAGGTGTGTCTCTTGATCATTTGGCTCCCGGGCCCGGAGGCCGGGCTCGTGCTCCCCGCCCCCCCCCCCCTCCCCCCCCCGGTCGCACCTCCTCGACTGACCCGCGTCGGATGGACGCCAGCCGGATCTTTGCCTATGAGCGCCCGCAGGTGGCCCGCTACCTCCTGAGCAACCTGCGCTTCTGGCTCGATTGCTACGGGGTCGATGGGTTCCGCTTTGACGGGATCACCTCCATGGTACGGCGCACTGGGCGGGGCTTGCGACACTCGGCCACCCGGTGCAATATGCTGACCGGCCGCGGCGACAGCTGTACACCCACCATGGCATTTTCCACGTCTTTTCCGGCGACTACCGCGAATACTTCGACCCCATCACCACCGACCGAGACGCCATCGCCTACCTGACGCTGGCCAATGCCCTGGTGGCGGATACCCACCCCGGGGCCATCACCGTGGCCGAAGATGTGTCCGGCATGCCGCTGCTGGCCCGGCCGCTGGCCGAGGCCGGCATGGGCTTCGGCTGGCGCATGGCCATGTTCCCGGCCGACGAGTGGACCCGCCTGGCCAAGGAGATCAGGGACGAGGACTGGTCCGTCAGCAATATCAGCTGGATGCTGTCCAACCGCCGGCACATGGTACGCGACGCCGATCGATGGCCCACCCGCCGGCCGGCCGGCCGGCCGATGGGAAGGCCCCACGGCTGCCGCTTTACCGGCCCCCATGCCCTGACTCGCGGTCCGTCTGTCCCCCCCCCCCCCCCCCCCCCATGCCGGCCCGTGCGCGCCAGGAAAATACCGTGGTCTATGTGGAGTCGCACGATCAATGCCTCGTCGGCGACCAGGCCCTCATGTTCCGCATGGCCGGCGCCAGCATGTACTCGGCCATGTCGCGTCTGAGCCCGCCCGGGCCGGACAAGGGCGCCGTCGAGCGCGCCCTCCGCCTGCACAAGATGATTCGGTGCGTTGGCCCGTCTGCGCCGGGCATCTGGCCTGGCTTCGGGCCCATTGGCCCGAGGGCCTTGCTCCCGCTTGCTGACCCTCCCTCTGGGCCTGTGCCGCCCTTGATGCATTCCCCCCCCGGGCTCCGGGACGCCTCCCGCTGCCTCTGCTTCCTCCCCCCGGTCCCCGACAGCCTCGTGACCCTGACCCTCGGCGGCGAGGGCTATCTGAACTTCATCGGCAATGAGTTTGGCCATCCCGAGTGGCTGGACTTCCCGCGCGAGGGCAATGGAAAGTGCGCCTCCCATGCTCGCCTTCCAGCATGCTTGTGGGCCGGCCTTTTTCTCTCTCTCTCTCTCCCCCCGGTATTCTAACCCCTGCCCGCCGTGTCTCCCGCCCGGGCCCGCGGGCCTTTCCCGTTCTCGATGTGGCCTCGCTCGTCGCTCGCCGGCATTGATCGACCGGCCGCCCGCGTCGGCCGCCCCCTGCTGCCTCAGTTCATACAACCACGCGCGGCGGCAGTTCCAACTGCTCGACGATCCAAACCTGCACTTTGGAGCCCTCTGGCGCTTTGATGCGGGCCTCATCTGGGGCCTGGGCCGGGTGGTGCCCCGGACCACGCGCGAGGTACACCGTGTCTCGCGGGCTTTCGGCCACCCACCCGCCCGCCCGCCCGCCCGCCCGCCCGCCCGCCATGCCCCCCATTCGCCGCTCCTGACTCGGAACCCTGTGTGACCCTCCCCCCCCTCCCCCGACCTTGGCCACGGGTCCCCCTCATGGACGGTCCCGTCCACGGGCTGTTCCCCTGACAGTTCGTCAGCCGCAAGAACGATGGCGACCAGGTGTTGGCCTTCGATTTCAGCTTCCCGGCCCCGGCAAATCCGAATGTCCGGCTGGACGCCACCCTGGCCGACGCCCCGCCGGCCTACGACCATTACGTGGTGGTGGCCAACTTCCACCCGTACAAGAGCTTCGAGGGATACAGCATCGGTGTCCCCGCGGCCGGGACCTACCGCATGGTGCTGTCCTCGGAGGCGCCGATCTTTTCCGACCGCGACACCGAGTGCTACCGCCGCTCATGCTCCGCACCGCAGCTGTCCCATTCGCAGCTGGTGGCCGCCACCCAGTCGGACCGTGGCGACGACTCGGCCGCCGACATTCCGACTCCCGGGTCGTGCGTCAATCGCTTCCACGCGCTGTGCTTCCAGCTGGCCCGGGCCGGCTGTGCCAGCAAGGAGCACACCCGGGCCGGTGGCGAGCCGGCCGCCACGGCCTTCCTGACCAAGCAGCTGCTGGAGGTGGCCTCGGGACGAGAGTGTGCCACCTGCCGGGCCGACTCCCTGATCGACCCGAATGGGCGGTACTTCTCGGATCGCGAGGCCGAGGGCGGCTGGGATGGTCGTGCGGCTCGCATCCAGGTGTATATCCCCTCCCGAACGGCCCTCGTGCTGAAGCGCGAGTAGGTGACCACCCACCCGGCCCGTGGCCCTCGCCGCCCAGCCCAAGGAGGGAGCCCCCTGGGAGGCACTCACCCGCCCGGTGTCCGCATGGGTGTGCATTCGGCCACACAAGCCCCGGCCAAGTGGGGCAAAACCAAATCTATATTCTTTCTCACAGCTCGCGCGCATGAAGCCACAAACAGCTGCCGGCCCAGCGAGCCAGCCGGGAGAAAGGGGCAAAGAGGAGAAGTAAAAGACAGAAGCAGGGGGAAGGACAGACCGCGAATGGCAGGGGGCCGGGGGAGCACACAAACAACAGGAGCCCCGCCCAGGCGGAGGCAGGAGGGGGGGGAGGGGGGGGGGAGCCTTCCAGGCACAGAATGCTCACCTGAAACGCATGGTGCGCTTGGCGGCCACGGCGCCCCGGCGCGCCGGGAACTTGATGTCCAAGCCCGAGGACCGGCCGCGGCTTGTCGTCCACAGGGCCTTGGCGTGCTCCAGGACCGAGTCACACTGAGCAGGCGCCCACATCGCGCGACCGGCATCGAGGGGTGTCAGCGAAGACAAAAAAAAGGCAGTGGGAGGCTCCGAGGGGAGAGAGAGAGGAGAGCGAAATGCGCGGCGAATGGGGGGGGGGGGGGAGGCGGCAGTTGACGACAGACGAGCGCCAGGCGGCAAGGGGGGAAAGGCAGAGGCGCAGCCCCACGCACCATACGGCTGAGCAGCCCCGCATCGAACCCCTCGGAAGAGGCCCCCGGAGCCATGCACTCCAGGAGCAGCGTGCTGAACTTACGCTGTGCCTCTACCAAAGCATTGGGGCTCTGATAGTGCTGGGGCTCGGAAAGCTCCGAGTCCGGCGCGCCACGGATGCGCATCCACGGCCAGAAGCGGAAGCGCACCAGCGGCCAGGCACCGGCCGTCCCGTCGGCTGGAGCCACCGACCGGACAAACTCCCGGAGCAGGGCGTAGCTGATGGCGGCGTAGTCCGTGTCCCAGGCACGGGCCACGGCAAAGTCACTGACCAGCCACATTTCGGCCGGAGCCTCATTGCCCGGGACATCGGCCGCAGGGGCGCCGGCCGCACCGGCGGCAGGCACGCGCCGAGCTCGGAGAAGACCCACCGCGAAGCCGGTCGACCGGGCCGTGGCCACCCACCACCGGCCATCGGCCGGGTCCTCGCCGCCGGGGCCCGGCTGGCCGGCCACAATGGCCGCCTGGCCAGCGCGCAGGTAGTCACACACAAAGTCCACAGCCGGGTCATGCGCATCGGCCGAGCTTCTCGAGGTCTTCGAATCGCCGGAGGCCGCCGGGAAGAGGTCCTGCATTTGCGGCGGGTCCTCCAACGCCCGGAAGGCCTCACTGCCGAGGTTGGCCCGGACCGAGGCCACGGGATAGTTTTCGCTGAGCTCGGCAGCCCGTAGCCCGGCCTGCTGGAAGAGGATGGCCGCATCGGCACGCAACTCGGCCGATGCCTCGTGCAGGGGGGCAATGTCGACTGTCGACCCAAAAAGAAGAAGAGGAAGAGGAAGAGGAAGAAGAAGAAGAAGAAGGAAGGCGAGCGTGCTCGCTATGGTTAGAAAGTGTCCGCCCCCCGGCCTGGCCTGGGCCGGGGCTGGAACAAGTGCGGGACGGGGGCGGAAAAAAAAAGGGGAAAGAAAGAAGAGAGCACACGAGAGCGGAGAGCGCGTGCGTCACGCACAGCCCCCATCGAACCACCCCTCGGACAGATGCATGGCCTGGGTCCGGCCACTGAAGGCCACCACATCCGGCGGTGGGACCGTGGTGTCGGTGGCGTCAGATCCACCGAGGAAGAGCAGTCGCCGAGCGATGGGGTAGTGCACATCGAACTCGTCGTCGATGCGTCGGCGATCTGCCAAGGACAGAAGTCGCGACACCCGCTCGTCGAAGGTGGGCTCGGCGCCGCTGGACCAGGGCACAAAGGGAATGGACAGATCGCCGGGCTTCACCGGGGCAAAGGACCCGGTCGGGAACTGGAGCCGGCCCTCGGCCGCGAAGGGGCTTGTTCCGGGGGCCTGCTTCTGCCACACCCACACCGGGCGCGACTTCCCCACCCCGCCGAGGATGCTGTACACTCCGCGGGCCGAGGAGTTGGGCAGGTGCGCCAGCACGAACATCGACATCGGCTCGCAGATCGGCTCATCGGACACATCTTGGATGTAGATGGCCAAGTGGCCGCCATCCTGCGCACCGGGGGGAGGGGGGAGAAGGAGTCAGGACCTGGGAGGGGGAGGGGAAGAGGCAGTGCGCAAAAGGAAAAGAGAAGGGGGACAGCTGGACGGAGAGAGAGAGAGAGAGAGAGGGGGGGGGGAGAGGGAGGAGGAGCCAGGAGGAGATGAACGAGGGGGGCCGGGAAAGAAAGAAAAAAAGAGTCGGCCAAGCAGCAGCGCGACCCCCCCCCCCCCTCCCCCCGGAAAGAGCATCCCGCACACGGGGAGCCATGCGCCTCGCACCTCAAGCAGCGACCAGCAGCGGGAATACGACCGGAGCAGGAAGCGAACAAGCCACGAGTCCGAGCTGGACCCGTGCTTCACCCAGGATTGCGTCTGGTCGAAGGTGTACTTCTCGAAGTTGAAGTAGGGCGGCGAGCTGAAGGCCAAGTCGAAGCGCTGCCCCGGGGCCAGCTTCAGGTCCGACGACTCGAAGGGGCCATACACCACACGGAAGTCCGCGGCATGTGGGGCAAACTGCCCAGGCTCCTGGTCCTGGGGGGGCTTTTCCTCCAGATACCGGGAGAAGGATTGCCGAATGAGCGAGTGCCCTTCGATCAGCGTGCGGTTGGGATCGCATGCGACGTAAGTGCGCACGGTCGGCGCGCACGCCAGCGCGGCGATCATGCGGTCGCCCCAGCCAGCCGAGATGTCCAGAATGCGCGTGGCCTTGAATTGCTTGTAGAACTGAACGGCGATCGAGACCTGCGATCGGCCAAGCCGGGGGACTGTGTCAGAAAAGGAGAG